ATAAGTTAAAGTCTCTTCCCACTTGGCCTGTAAATCCTTGAGCAGGCATTTTTGTTGCTATTGGATTATCAATATTCGTTTCATGGACGACTTCAGTTGTATAAAAACCTGACTATATTCATCATTCTCTTCATATCGAGGTAAAGATCTTGGATGGCAATTCCTAAGCTTAGCATTTTTATAAGAAATTTTATTATAATTTTCAAAATCGACCTGACTATTGACCTTAGCCAAGCTACAGGGTCAATGAGTTAATGATTCGATGGGAGATTTTTCTATTTGGCCTGTCACTATTCTTTTTTATGGAAATGTCTATATTATCCTTAATGAAATGATTCTTTCTATATTGCAACATATGTCCTAATCTTTTAAATATTTTATCTTCTGTTTACTCTGTTTTGAATGTTTGAATATAAAATTATTCTATGATCTAATAAATAAGAATAATCCGCAACATATATATCATATTTTCTTAATAAAATATCATATTCTTCAAATGGTAAATTTGCATTTTTTAATTGAGATATAATATTCTTTATTTCTTCTAACATTCTTTCTAATAAATTATCTAATCCTTCAACTGTATATCCTGGCATTTATCAAAATCATCATGCAATTGTCCCTGCGATTCTTTTAAGATCTTAAAAAGATTCATTTTAATTTTAGCAAAAGTTTAATAATTTTACCTTATGTTTGATCTAGACTTGTATTCTTAGAATCGAGTGACCTTCGAACTCTGAATTTGTAAACTGCTTCTTTCAACGGCCTCCTGCCTTCACGGAATTGTTACTATTTCAGCTACTTGCTTTCACTGTATCAGCTTCTAAAGAATAAAATTCTAAACTTCTGTTAAGGAAAACTCTCTTTTTGCTAAAATAAGAAGAAAACTTTCTATTAGATCTTTCAAGAATCTATGGGAAAAAAATTTAGAAACTTATATTGATGTCAAAATATTGAAATTTTATTTCTATTAGGATTGATACAAGACTTATATTTGGTACAAAGGGATTTCCAGAAAAACTGATTTTTTAGACTAAGAGTAGGCTATTGCTTACAACTAGAGAATTCAAGATAGGATGATCTTCTTCTATGGTAATGTCTCTATTTATACAAGTTTTTGAGACTCTATTATATCATTGAATAAATCAGCAAGGCACACTTGCCTTTCTATTTTCTTCCTTGGGCCGACATCTTCACATGCTGGTTTAACTTTTCTATCCAAAAAGCATTTTTTTTATTATTGCTCTTTATCTTCAATGTCTTCACATGTAGTATTATTGTCCTTCATACACTTTTGTCAAAAGGTGCTTTGTCTTTTTTTATTTCTTCACATGCAGTTGGGGCATTCCCTTAGTTGGCAAGATTCTTTTATAGTGGTAGGACATCCTGAAAATTGATATATATCAAATCTTATAATATAGGCTTTTAAAATTTCTGATTTTGCATATCCTCTATTGGATACCAATATCCAATTTTCATATTGGCATAGGCACGAGAATTTTTTTTCAAACAAATTTTTGGCAATGTTGTAGATGACTTTAATTCCAAGTGCTCTTCTATGCCTGATCCATGATTTTGTCACGATTGGAATTTTTCTATTATTTTCTGTAACATCAATTTGGAAATTGGCCGCAACATATCCAATTGAGATTATGTGTTCAACTGGATAGTAAACAACTCCATCATAGTCTGGACTAATTGAATAAAATTTTAAAAATATCTTCCTTCCCTTGGCAAATTTGGATACTTCTTTAATGAATATGTCATCAAACTTTGAAATTTCAATGAAATCTTTTCCTGGATAAATTAAATCCATAAATCCATAGTCTGTCATGATTTTTATAAATGAAGGGTCACCTCCTTCCATGACTGTTATTCTGGGGTAAACATTATTTCCCGGAGAAATGAAATATGAATTACTTATTTTTATTTCATAAGCGATTTTGACTATTTCGGCATATTTTTCTTCGTTTGGATCTAAAGGGATTTTATCTTCTTGGTCTATGATGCTGATTGTTTTGGTATCTCTTTTATCTTCATGTATCATAACTTTCTTAGTTGATGATACAGAAATAAAATCTCCTTTATAATCAGTTGGTATGTTGTCACGTCTGGGTCCACTGCTGCTTCCAGCTGTCCCTGTTTGGTATTGATTTGGAAAACTTATTTCTGAGCTCTTTGGTATATCTGTTTCAAACAATATATTTTTTAGTTGTGCTGCAATAGCATCAACTTGATTTTTGAGTTCAATGGCATATTTATGATGCTCAATAGTGATATTCAACAATATTTTCATATTTGAGTTGAACATCTCTGAGATCTGAGTTGTTCCAAAACTTATATCTTCAGATTCTTCTTTAAGAAAATTTATCCTTTCTTAAATATGTAGAATAGATTGGTATAATACCATGGCATTGACTTTATCCATCAGCAAATTCTACATTTCTGTTAAGAAAATCGACAAGAAAATTATTAACTCCTTTAATATGGACTATATCGAAATTATTAAATGCTAAATAAACTTGCCATCTATGAAGCCTTCTGTATTGTGGTTCTGAGGGTAACTTATTCCTGACTAATCCTGCAATTTGAGAATTATCAGTTTCAACAATAAATTTCTTGAATAATAAAAACAATGAGAACTTTTTTATTCCTCTAATAATTGCCAGTAATTCTTTTTCACGAGTAGTATAATTTATTTCTGGTTGGTTAAAGGTTCCACTTGAGTATCTACAACATTAATATCTGTTTTTAATATTGCTGCCCAATATTTATCTGAGGCATCAGTATTAACAATTAAATTATTTTTTTCATCTGGTAATCTTAATTTTGGTAAATTTTTGCATTCTTCTTTTAATGATTTAACTATTTCTGTATGTTCTTCATTTCATCCCTTAATATTTGTTTTTATAAGTAAAACTTGAATTTTATGTCTTTTCTTAGAAAGATTTTCAATAAATCCTTCTGCATAATTTAAACATCCTAAATAATTTTTTGAATTTGTTCTTTGGATTCTACTTTATCTGGAAAACTTTCTATCTTTTTGGATATACAAGTTTGTAATTTTATCCCTCTTTTTTCTATTGATAATCCAAAAAAGTCTATCTCTTAATTTTCTCTTATAGATTTCTTTTTACATAGTACAATTCCTTCTTTTTTACATTCATTAATAAATTGGATTAAATGATTTCTATGCTCTTTTTACTATTAGAACATATTAATATATCATCAATATAAAGTATTAGAAATTCATTAAATTTTTTAAATATATTATCCATCTTTCTTTAGTATATTTGTGGTGCATTTTTCAAACCAAATGACATAACTAACCATTCATATTTTTCTTGAGGTGTACTAAATGCAGTATATTGTATATTGTATATTATCTTCTTCCATTTTTACTTGTTCAAATCCTGATTTACAATCAAATTTAGAATAATATTGTTTTCCTCTTGCAAGATTTATTAGTACTTTATTTGGTAAAAAATAACCATCAAATTTAGTATATTTATTTAATTCTTTATAATTTATAACCATTCTAGCTTTTCCTCTAACTTGTCTGAGTGTTTCATAATCATAAAGGCTAGACTACTATGAGATCCATTACTAGGTCTAATAAGTTTTTGTTATAACAATTCTTTTATCTGTTTTTTAAATTCTTGTGTATCTTCTATTGTATACATCATTGGTCTTACTCTTATTATAATATTTTCTGTTAATTCTATTTTGACTTTTGGGTGATGTGGTTTCCAAAATAATAATGGATTTTCTTCATAAACCTTTTCTAATTGTTCAATGATTTTTTTCTATATTTATTTCTATTCCTGTTTTTAATATTCTTTTATTTTTTATTTCATTATTGAGAATTGGTTTTTTCTCTCATTTATCACCACGCTGGGCTGACTGAACTCTATAAGGTTTAAATTCTCTAGAAATTTTTAATAAGTGTCCATAAGGTGTTTGTAATATTATCATATAATTACTTTGTTTATAATATTGAAATTGTTGTATGAAATCATTTCCTAATAATATATCACATTCTAATTTATCATATTTATAAATTTTATTTATTGTTACTTGTTTACTTCCAAAAATTATATTAACTTTATCAGCAATATTAATTATTTGAGTAATTTCTCCTGTAACACCAGTTATTTCTATATTACTATTATTATTTCATGATTTTATTAAAAAAACTTCATGTATCTATTAAAGCACAAGTTGTTATATTTGTTTCTACAATAGTAATTTATATATACACAGCTAATGGAAAACTTATCTGATTATTCATCTAATTCT